CCATCGTCACCCTGTTCTGTTCCCGCTACTCCACTGCCTCTCCCCTTACCCCCTCCCCCACCTGGTCTTCTTGCCACTTGGCCAGCAGCAATAGCTGGCAACGTTTAGCCCGGGGGTTGTGGACCTTGGGGCCGTGATTCAAACTATATGGGATGAGTCCTTCCACAGAACTATAAAGGAAACTGGAGAGTGACGCCCTGCCAAAAGCAGTGACTGCCTTGTCACCTGCAGACACCAGCTAAGATCGGCTGAGCTCCTGGTACAACCTGAGAGGCTTATGCGCCGCAAAGGGGACACCAGCCAGGGAAAACCCCTGGGTCAGGCATTTTTATCTATGTCTCTCGTTGAGAAACCGGGCAACAGATGCCCAACAGGAGTCCCATCTGGAAGGCGAGACAAAGAAACTGAAACCCTCTGGTGGAGCCCTCAGAAAGTTTGGCCTTGTTTTGTTTTCCATGAAACTCGAGTCTTAGAAGGCAGAAAAAAGACAATGAGGTCTTCACTGAAAGTAAAACCTTAAAGGCAATACAAATAATTTGAGGAATCCACAAACCCTTTACTCCCTGTTAGTGGTCTTCCACTTTGCCAGAAGCAGGGCCTGGGGTAATGTCCTTTATCTTCTATGAAAGTACTGGGCTACAGGGCTCATTTCCTGACCCAAGAGCAGAAGCTCCAGGTTCCCTTTCCTTCCCATTACACATGAAAAAGGGGTCTTGCTGGGGTAGAGGAGTGGAGATGTGTGTGTGTGTGTGTGTGTGTGTGTGTGTGTGTGTAATATATATATATGTGTATATACACATATATATATATCCCCACACCTTTAAGTAATAACAGAGAAACAGACACAAGCTAGGAAGAAAAAGGATGCTACTATCTTCCTCTTGGCTGATGGATGAAAACATCTCAGAGTCAGACTTCATAATTAGAAAATACATGTCAACGTCAACATAAAATGTGTATTTCTAAATGTGTGGTAAAATTCATGTTTTGATTCACACTCATCATTTTCTCTTCCCTCCAATTTTTCCGAATTAGTAAGGGTTATACAGTATGAGTGTAGTAGAGTATAGAGTATATGGAAATGCAGCCAGTAAAACTTTGCCCAAGAGGGACCCGCATGGTTCAGGGGAAATAACGCAGGCTTTGAGATGACAGACTTGTGTTTTTATCCCAGCCCTGTCTCCTAGAGTAGTTTTTAACTGTACTTGCAAACTTCTTTTTTTTTCTCTTTTTCCTGAGCAGGCTAAAACCTTGTCTTTGAAATATCATTTACAATGCTTAGCATGCCTTCTTTTCAAAAAAATAATCATTTCTCTTTGGGTCAAGTCTTTGGGAATAAATTCTATTGGCCCATGAAGATGTGCTTAGGAAAAAAACAGACTTTATCTTGCAAGAGACAAAGAAAGGAATGCCAAATGTCTCACAAAGACGTACTTCCCAGGAGAATGACAGCCCTGAAGACGAACTCCTCCCTGAATAAGGTTGTGTAGGACAAGAGGATGAAGAATACAAACAGGTACATGGTCTTCAAGGTAGAAAGATCTGGAATACGGCCTGGTCTGGGAATTCTCTGACCGAAGCATTAAGATTATAAGGGTTCTGGGGGCAGGGTCCCAAGTCTGAAAACGAGTGCCCAGCATGCAGAAGGCATTTAGTAGTATTTGCTGAACAAATGAATGAGCCTTCTCCACGCACAGGCTGTCCCTCCGTGGAGACCAACATACCGAAAAGTCCCTAGAACCCAAGATTCTTTGGCACAAGGGTGCACTTTGATATGTGTGTTCCAGCTCGTTATTAAACCACTAAGTTCCCCAGAAGACAAGTTTAAATCTATGTTAATATTTGTCCTGTATTTCCAGGACCCAGGCAAATATCAGGACCATGAGTTGCTGCTTTCAAAAGAGCTTAGACTTGGGTCCCTATAGTTCTGGACTGAAATCTCAAAATTCAGCAAAAAGGGTATCAATACTAAAAATTATTAATTAAGTATATTATTTCATATTTGTATGCTCACATTAGATACAGTTATCATTAGATAATCACACACACACACACAAACACACACACACACACACACACACACACACACAAAATCAACCTGGCAAGACCTATTTTAGCACTAAGGACCCAGGCTCTAAAATTAATCATGCATGTGACCTTGGGCAAGTTAAATCTCTCTAGGCCCATTTCAGTAACTGCATAATGAAAAAACAGGACTAGATCAATGGTATTCAAACTTTGCTGCATGTCAGAATCACCGGGGAAGCTCTTAAAATTCTTGATGCACAGGCTGTACCCCCAGACCAATTTAATCAGACTGTCCAGAGGTGGGAACTGGGCACTGTAGGTTTTAAATCACCCCAGGGGATTCCAGTGGGCAGCCTGCAGGGACAACTTTGGGACTAGGGGGCCTCTCAAGTTCCTTCTTATTCTAAAAACTGGGATGCTTGAGTTCAAAGAATGTGAGAGGACCTCCTCTGGGATCAGAATTTCCATCCCTAGTACACAGTGTATCCTTGTCTATCTACTTGAAGTCAATTGCCTAGGTTCTGCAAACTGACCCATTTTTATGCCCAAACTGCTCCCCCAGGCTGGGGCAGGGAGCCTGGCTGCGGCCAACACCGAGTCTTAGGAAGCAGGGCTGGCTTGGCTTCTGGTCAAAGGCCCATCCTTAGCCTCTGAGGGTACGTGCACCGCAGGCTGTACAGAGAGTTTCTTTGCTCCCGTGATTTTGTCAACCCTCCCTGCCCTTACCCTCCTTTTTCTAATCTAAAATCATTATCTACTACCGCCAGGAAAGAAGTTTATCGAACTCGTCCTTGACAAGCCAGATGGTTAACTTAACTGATCTGAATTGGCAAGGACAAGTGGTTGATATTAACATGCTCCCATAGTACTATGATTGGAATACCTTGCCATCTTCTCCTCTGACCAACGTCTAACGTAAGAGGATCTGAAAGGGCACAAGAGTAGTGGAACAGGGCCCAGTGCCGGCTTTACTGAGAGCTATTTATGTGCCTAGGTACCTGATTTCCGTTGTCTCAGTCCATCCTGTGATGTGGGAATTATCCCTCTTTTACAGTGGAGAAAGAAGTGGGGCTTTGGGAGGTGACCTGAGCTCCCTAAGGACACCTACAGTTGGTCAATAGAAAAGCCTAGATTTGAACTCAAGAGTAAATGGGCTAAATCCCACTTTGCTGAGCACACAGTGATAGAGCAAGGACAGGGATGAGGGAGAAAGCTCACTTACATCTTTCCACTTACATTCTAATTAGGAGGCAGGATAGTATATCCAAAAGCTCAGAGTACAGGCCACTGTGAACCAGTTCAGAGAAAAGGACTGCGTCACACTTACAGAACAAGCAGGCCTTCTCACGGTTCCCTCCTTTTTCCTTTACACGCCATATCATCACAACTCAAAGCTTTGAGAACTTTTGAAAATGAAGCACACTTCCCCCTCCTTCTACCTACCCTTTTATAGTCAGACTACAATCCTTATTCCAAAAATAAATCGGCCTGATGAGAGGCCAGAAAAAGCGAAGCTTAATAGTTTTCCACTTTCATTATTGACTTATGGGACACTAGTTGGACAGACTTATTATCATCACATTTTTTACAAATTTCCCCTACAAATAAATAATTCTAGGATATGCCCAAATAACTCTGGCATCTTGGCTCAACATGTTTTTATAATTACTTGGCACTCCAACCGTATGCTACTTAAATCAGGGAACAGTCAACAAGTTATTTTTAGGCCATAGCAACACACACACACACACACTCTCCATTATACCTAACTTGTCACTTATACTCCTTTGGAAGGGGAGCCCTGATTGTCTTTATACTGATGCCATCATTTCTGTTCAACCAATGGTAATAACAGTATGAAGCTTCAGTTAGGGAGCATTCACCATGTATGAAAACTGGTCTGGGCCCTCTGTACACATGACTTCTTTCAACTCCTAGACTAACACTGTAACATAGCTGCTGTTACATCCTCTTTTATAAAGGAGGAAATTAAGGAAGTAAGGGATGAAGCAATTTGCCCAGGAGTTCATGGCTAGTAAGAAGGGACCAAGGCTAGAATCAGACAGACTAGATCCAAAATCCTGCCTGAATTTCCCCACCATTTGTGACAAGGCGAATGTCTGGCATGTTTGGATGTTAAGCAGGGGCTCAGAATAACAACACTAAGTCTGTGCCTACAGGAGGTATGTCTTTATTTCACGTATCTTTTAAAAAGCTCTCGACATCCAGAGAGACAAGAGGAAGACTGTTGTTCCCCCAGGACAAACAACGCAGAAAAAGACTATTTTCCTGGGGTCTCTGATTACTGAGCATAGCCTTTCACACTTGGTCATCAAACTCAGTACCGCCTGTAAGTGTTACTTCAGAATCGTTCGTGATTATGGAAGAATGTGTACTCTGCGTGGTTCATCCCTCAGGAATTATGATGGAAGGTTTTATAGTCTACAAATTGAACTCCCTGTGTTATCGTATCTTCCCTACGGATCAGCCTCCTGAAGAGATTGTCTCTCCTCCCCTGCTCCCCACTGAACACTGCTGGTGCAGCACCAGGTCCGTGGGGGGACTGGGTCTGTCGGTCAGTCTTTGTTTCCTGACAGCACAGAGCAAGTACAGGCATGGGCCTGACATATCCACGTGGAAGGGAGAGCTACAGCCCCCCGAGGAGGCACCCAGAGCCCTACCACTCCGAGGGAGAGAGGCTTCTCCACAGACCCAAGAGCTAGCTAGTCAAGGTGAAAATTTAAGTTTGAAAAAGTGGGCGTAAGACACTGAAGTATTCAGGAGTGAAAATGTTGTCTGCACTGTACTATACAATAGCTGCAGCCTTATTAATTCTAGAGCAGTAACTTTAAACCTGAAACATATCTGGCTATATTAATATGTTGCGGGTACTATAAAATATTTCAACAACCGAAAAAGGAAGAGAAAGTCAATAGGGCAATTATGAACAACAGTTTAATCTGTGTGGTAGGTATACGGTGCTCTTTATCCCCTTTCTTATTTTTCTGCATATTTGAAAATTCTTATAATAAAAGTTTTAAAGGCACAGAGGTCTTTAAGGAGGAGGCAGGTGGCAGTAGATTATCCTTTCCAACACAGGTAAACGATCATTTTCCTGAATCCAGCTTTCCTGAAAAGGAAGGGTACCTTATAAACATCAAAACAAAGATGGTGGCTCTCCTTCTGGGAGGTCCAAAACCATCTAGCCTTCTTACTCAGTTTGGTTAAAAATCATACTGAAAATCAACTTGGGGTAAAACAGACTGTAATTCTCTCAAAGATTTTGCAAATCCCTAAATATTTATGCATTTGGATCATTTTCACCAGAAGGAGTAGAAGCACTGGTCTGATGTCATTTATTCTTCAGGAGATGAGAATAAAACATGGATTAGACACAGGTCACAACAGGGAGGGGACTGTAAATTAGAACAGTAACTTAATCCCAGGGGCTTCTGCGCCTCTGATCAGTTTCTTCCCAACCTGACACAGCATTACTAAAATGGTAACTGAGCAGCCGCTCTACTTGACAGGCAGTACCAAAAATGGAGAACATGGCATTGAAACAGGGGGACAGAAAACTTGGACAGGGAGGGTAGCAACCACTGTTTACAAGTTTACAAACATAAACCAGAGAATCATTTGGGCCAGCCATAAATTACCCAAGATTGTACTGAAATCTCTCAAAATAAATTAATGAGGCCTTCAAAGTTTCTACCTTTCATTCTAACTACCTTCACCACCATAGTTTCCCTGCAAAAAAAATCACTCATTCCAAAATGGTACCGCTACCACTTCACTAAAATAAAATCTTGCATCACCTAGGGAGGGGATTAGTAAAACAAACCTCTGCAGAGAAGCCAGACCAGAATGGTCTGCTTGACCTACTCAAGTACTTGGGAGAGGTTGCTGCCCATGTCTTCTGAGAGATGCCCACCCCATTCTTCACTTCCACGGTGCTATGGTATTAACCTTTGGTATACCCGAATGAAAGGGTAGCTATGGGTATCGTAATTACGATCACTCTCCTTTCTTTCCCATCTTGGTCTCAATTTTAAGCCATTCCCCCCAAAGAGACCAACATAATAATGATGACAATAATAAATAAATTAAATTAACAACCCTTTTGCTCCTAAACTATTTTCAATCAAATTCCCAGATATTTGAAGGAAAAGCACCCAAAACTACAAATAATCCAACCTCTACCACCAGCGCGTCTTCCAGGTCGACCGCCGCTGTGTCTCACCAACCCGAAAATGACGAGCCCTCACCGTGGCCGCCTGGGGTGCCCAGTGGTGAGGTCAGCAGCATGTCCGGCCCCGCCCCACTGAGGCAATCTTAACTTCACTGACACTGAGGAGCAAGCCCAGGCTGCCCGGACTCTCAGCTACATCGACGGGGAAAGAACCCCACTTTCTTTGGTAGCACCGGGGAGGTTCACTTCCAAGCAATTGACAGGCCACCCCTAAACACAATAATGTCCACTGCAAACAAGAGGGTAAGATCTCCAATTCCGCCTAATCATCCGCATGTTCAAATCCAGAGTCACCTTAATTTGTATTGTTCGAGGTCTGTCCTCAAATCACATAGACACAAAAGGTCTGCTTTTTCCTATCATCGACACTACATGAGCAAAGAGATGACCCACAAGACCACTGGCTACCCCTCTCTTTGTTCCCCAAGATAAACTATTACAAATGAGAAATTTGTGGACTGTATTTTCTCATCCAAAAATGACAAAACAAGCCAAGATCACGGTGAGAGAACACTAGCTGTGTAGGCCAACTGGGAATAACTCAAAGTCAACTGAACAAGAATAGAAAACAATAAAATACAGAGCTACACAGAGGAAATCTGAATGTGTCTGTAACCCTAAGAAAATTCATCAACCACAACAAAAATGCCTGGGCCCTGCTGAAATTCTCTGGATATGACCTCCATTATGTTCTCCTTCCTACCAGAGCCTACCAACCCTAAGAAAAGTTATGACTTTGTGGCAGTTGAGCCCAATGACAGCAAGCTCAAGAAGAGCTGGAGGGGATGGGATGGGGGTCGCGGGGGGTGGGGGATTTGTCAAAGTAATTCAGAACCATATTTCCAAGAATGCTACTTAACAAAAGGCAGAGTGCATGATCGAGAAGACAAGAAGGAGAGTGGCAGAGCTGTAACACAAAGATGAAATAACTGACTTACTCATCCCAATGGCCTATTGCATTTAAATATGCCAGGTGTTCAAAAGAACAGAGCAGTACCTCTGGTCAACACACTTCAGGAGACTTGGTAGTGATGTGGCCCAGAAACTGTGTACCTTAGCTCAAAACACAAGAGAAGAAAAGAGAGAAGATGACCATCTCTCAGTGCCCTCAAAGGACAGAAGACACCAAAAAAGAAAGAGTGGTGTGTAGTGCCCCAAATTACAACATCTGAGGGCAAAGAGCAGCGAGTCAGATAGACAAAAGATGAAGCTCCCCTGCTATGTTAGGCAACACTGTGTGAAAGAAGCTCAGAAAACAGTGGGTAATTATTTCTTCCTGCCCAGGCTCAGCAACACTGACATCAGAGTTATTCTGCATTCAGTGTAAGGGGCCAAGTGACCGACCACCCCATCTTGGAAGGAGCCATGATGCCAATGGTTGTCAGATGAGGCCAGAAAGAACAAAGGGTTGAGGAATATTTCATAAAAATGTCTCTGTCCCCTTGGAGCTTTGGCAGAAGAATGGATGTCATTGGTACACTTACGCTTTGGTGCTGGGGGGCTAGAGGGTGCTTACAGGAAAGACCTCTGCCCTTCTTGAAGGTCACTTTATAAACCATAGAAAAGCCAAGCTAATCAGAGGTGAGAAAGAAGATTTCCTATAAAAAGCACTGGTACCTGAAGGTTTACTGATAGTTCACCATAGCTTCTGCTTCCTCTGGTCCATCAACTTTGGTTAAATCTGAGAGACAGTAACTTTCCAACTGGTTATTGACTGGAATAGAGCTACCAGACCAGCTATGACTTGAGATACAATCTGGTGGTACACAGCCCCACTAAAAGGGGAGAGAACAGTCTCAGAGAGGTGAAATGCTCGCGCAGTACAACTGAGAAGCTGCGTGGAGGCTAGAACCTGGGTCTTCCGGCTTCTGGTTCCATGCGACTGGTTTTTCTCACTACAGCAAAACAGTTAAGAGCAAAGAAGGGAAGACAAGAAGAAGGAAGTCTATTTTGGTCTCACGTAGCCATGGTAAGGAGAATCCTGACACTTCTAAGACAAACCCAAAGTGAACCCAGACTAACCAGGACTGTGCTTGGGAGGGGGACAGGGGTATTACCTTTCAACACCAGAGGTTCTTTGCCTTCTCTCTTCAGGGACTCGAGGACTATGTGAAGTGGCTGGGAGGGCATCACTCGGCTCGGCTCATTGGTATTCTCATCATAAACTATAATTTCTTTGGAAAAGATCCTCTTGAAAGAGTCCTTGCCTTCCCTACAGGAAATCAAGTCTAAGACCGTGATCTTGCCCTGCTGCAGTCTCCGCCGGCTGATCTTATCGGCACAGTTAATGTGGACAGCTCCTTGGATGTGACTCTTGTTGTACTCCATGAAGGGCCTGCAGTCAATGATGACAGGGCCCTGGCTCGGCAGGTGACTCTTGCTGCATTTGGTCATCTTCTTCGCCAAGTCATTGGGATAGATTATTTTGATGCTGGCTAGCTGCTTGGGGGTCCCTGACACGGGGCTGCCCACCCCACCTGATGGACTTAGAGAGCCTGCATTCTCATTGTTGTTGACCATCTGGTTGGCAGGGCAGGTAGTAGAGGTTCCGATGGCGGTGGTGGCGGTGCCGGCAGCGATGGCTTGGGTTTGGGCCTGATTGTCCTTGTCGTAGGTTGCCACAGTGCAGCAGCTGGCACTGCTGCATCCACAATTCAGGGAGCGGGCAGAGCCGCTGGATGAGGGCATATACGTCAGATTCGCAGCCTTGAGGGATACGACGGTGGTGGCAATGACAGGAGGGTGGCTGTTACTGCCTGGGGAGGCAGAGCCAAGGTAGCTAGAGTCTAAACAAAGGTTGAGATCCTGAGGTCGGACGGGCCTAGACAGTGCCACTACTACCCTGTCGTCTAAAGGAGACGGAGGCATGAGGAGGCTGAAAACTGGCAATTGAAGAAGAACTCAAGACAGTCTGTAAAGAAGGGGAGGGGGAAAGAAAGAATAAAGTCACGTGACACAAAAGGCAGTCTGATCCAAACCCTAGGAAAGGCCTGTGCATCCCTCTGAGTGAAGTTGTCCTAAGGGCCCTTTATCATGCCACTCTCCAAGCCCGAAACTCATTTTTAGAGATTCGAAGACGATGTCAACCTGAGGGCCCCCACCTATTTGGTGACTAAGTCTTAGGTTCCACGTACAGTCTACACAAATGTTGATGAACAACCTCTCATGGACCTACATCGAAGTTCAGCCTCGGAGAAAGTACAAGCACAGAGAATCAGAAAAGCCGAAGACAGAAGGGAAGGCTCTTAAGAGGCATCTATTCCGGGCCTCATCTCCTGGGCAGAAGCATAGTGCAACCATATGAGAAAGACCCATTTGTCCCCCCTTGCATACTTTCCGTTTAAGTCCTTCACCCACTGCAAAGGCGAGGGAATGACCATGAGCGCTGGCACGGCTCACCGAAATATAAAGCAGCTAAATATACATCAGGGGCGGATGGCAACTTTCTGCAAATCAGAATGAAAGTATCCCCCAAGTGAATCTCTTTAACTAGGAGCTATTCTTGCTTTGCATCCCTTTGAAAAGCACAACACAGTCATATTAAAACCTCCCATGTTTCCTGTTAGTCTCTTATAAATTAATCTGCATTTCCCCTTTTGTTACAAACGAACTGTCCTGAAACAAAGACTCAGGTCAAGAAGCCAGGTCTGGTAACCCCCCAACCCTGGCAGATCCATCACCCTTTGCTCCTCTGCTGCCCACCTCAATCCCCCTCTCCCCCGCCCACACTTCTGCCTTTAAGAAAAGGACCACTTTGACTGCCCATTCCCAGTTCCCTAGTGGCACAGACTATGTATGCATCCCAGAGCTTCTCTCAATGGGAGGGAGGGAGCCACTGTGTATAATATTTCAATCCCACACAGAAAGATCCCTGCCCTTTGAAGAGGATGAGTTCCATAGAAAGGACTTCCCCTGTTAAAGGGGGCCGTGAGGTGTTGCCCACTGGGTCCACCTCCTGTCACCTGAGAGGACGCCTGCAAAGGAATACAGTTCCTTCCTTCCCATAGGCACAGGGGCACTCTACAACCCGACCCTACAGGCTCTTCTTCTATTACACATACTCAGAGAAAAGAAACCAAACCCCATGCAAGAGTCCTCACCTAAACGAACTTTAAGAGATGTCTGGGAAAATGTAATCTATCATCCGTCTACACACGACCGTCACCATTCTCTGACACAGAGCCAAAGTGTCACAGGCAGAATCCACACACACGCGCACACTCATACACTCAGAGACACGCACCCGACACGTCCACAGATCCCCACCGACTCACGTTTCTCTCACCCACCTTTGGATGGGAGAGAAGGATTCACCCCTTCCCTCCCCGCCCCTCCTCCCTCCCTCCCTTGCGTAGTATTTTTTTGAAGAGCAAGTACTATTCCAGAAGCTATAACTGTTTCCCAGCTGGACCAAGCGGTGAAAGTCTTTGCTATTGTGTTATCAGGTAGGGTACGTCCCGGGATCAACAGCCCATTTCCTCTGCGAGGGACGCATAAGCGCGTTCGCGGAGACACAGGCTGGGACCCCCCACCTCCACACGGAGTGCGCGGCTGGCTCTCGCGCTCTCGCTCGCGCTCTCTCTCTCTCTCTCTCTCTCTCACACACACACACACACACACACACACACACACACACACACACACACTCCCCGAGTGTATAGAGATCTGCATCCCTGCAGCAGAGGGTCGGGCGTATATGTTGCCCGTGAAAGCATCCAGACTGCCCAGGAAACCTCCCAGAGAAACACTATGCTATCCCCTCTCCCTTGCTAGTCGTCCTTCTACCTCTAGGCAGGGGCTGGAAAGAAAATTAAGTCGTTAGAGAATACTACTTCCCCACTTCTGGGCGCTTATCCCCCTTCGCAACACAGCGCACTAACAAGCCCCTGGCATTTCAAACTGCCGCAAAGCATCCCAACAAACCTCATTTTTTTTCTTCTCCCCAAATCCAAGTAGACTGCAGGGAGAGTAAACGCACTGGGTAGCGTGAGCCATCAGCCGGAACCCTATAACCTCACCTGCTGTGGCTCCCCCGTGAGCATCGCATCTCTCACACACACACACACACACACACACTCACTCACACTCACACTCTCACCGCCTTACACTCCCGGGCTCTCAGGAGTAACCGCGGTGACTTCCACTTACTTCATAAGTAAGTGTAGCCCTCCACCATCTGGCACTCCGCTTCAGCTAAGGATTCGCCCATTCAGCCCCCATTCACTTGGCTTCATTGATCTCCAGCAGCAACATAGTTACTTTCTCTTTTGCTACACTGTAAATGTAAGATCCCGAGGGGGCGGGCCGGCTGCCGACCGACGGCACGTTGGGCCAATAGAAATCCGGAGAAAGCTGACCGCTACCTCACAGCGGCCCGCCGCCAATGGACAGCCTGTGGGGAGGAGCCGGGGGCGTGGCCTCGTCTCTTTAAGGAGGGTTTATCCGACGCCGCTTCGGGTCCCCAGTGTTACAACACGGGCGGTGATGTCATTGGCAACCAATCAAAAACTTAAAAGGGCCAGCCGGGGCCCGCGCGGAGCAGCTG